CCCCTATCAACAGAACTAGATTACCTCCGCACAAGAGATACTGAACTTTTGAGTCGATTCTATTATCTGCCACTTCTTTGGAAGGAATAGGCAAGGAGAAACCTGAGTGGCCTCTTCACATTCCAGTTGATAGGCATCAGCCTTAACTGGGCTCTCCAGAGAGCTCACAGGTCTGGCCGTGAGTGGGTGAGAGTACATGTACATACAGATGCACAGGTTTATATGAGCAAAGAAATAATCAGTTTATTTGGGAACGGGTTTGATTTCCTGCAGATCAGTAAATAAAAAGGCACTTCATTCTGTTATCCACCCATGACCCTCGTTTGCATTTCTAAATTGTTAAATTTTTTACCTCCTTAAACAAACGTTAAATTGAATACTTTCCTCAGGACAACTACTTCAAGGACGTTAAAAAAAACTGGCCTGTCAACATTTACATCACACAATGGGTATTTCCTCCAAATTCGCGTATAAACTACCACCAGCTTCAGAAGAGTGTTGTTAGTTGGCGTCCAGTCGATCCAGACTCATGGCGACCCCACGTGTGCAGAGCGGAACTGCTCCATAGGGTTTTCAAGGCTGTGATCTTTTGGAAGCGGATAGCCAGGCCTATCTTCCAAGGTACATTTGGGTGGGTTCTAACTGCCAACCTTTCATCCAGTAGTCGAGCACTTCACTATTTGCAGCACTCAGGGAGGTCAGCAGTGTAAAGGTCTGCTTTTCCTTGAGTCAGTGCTGAGCTAAAAGAACAGTGAGGGGATATTCTCTACTCCACGGTTAAAATAGCATAGGCAGGAGATAGGAGAGTTCTTAACAGTGACAGGCAGTGAGTGCGAAGGCCCGTGAAAAGAATTTGCCAAATCCTAATAGAAGTCACATAAGTCCTTAAACTGTATGAGATTAAATATGGGCTTTGTAGATAAATGAAGCAACAGATTCGTTTTTATGAGATTAGTTTTGAACAATATTTTTACAATTTAAAGCACAACTTTAAGAATTGACTCTAGTAGCCATTTTTTTCTTAACCAAAAATTAGGATACATGACCTGTACACATATGGCCAAAGAACAAGATATCAGAAATAGGCATTTCAGAAAATAAACTGAGATATGCAGGAAATACAACTCTAGCTCTTCCCTATTTTTTATTCTAGTTCCAATTTCGGTGAGTCTACCATGCTTCCATCTCTTCTGTGAGAGATCAATTCAGGATTTTTAAAAATAAGAGCTCAGTATTATAAGTTGATAGATGAGAACTCTTTATTTGACGGGCAGAAATAACAAAACACATGCAAAGCTCTGACAGTTTTTAATTAGATCATACACAGTAGCAATCACTGAAGCATATGGCTAATAAGATGCATGCAATGCGGGCAGCTTTTCAGAGGACAGGGCAGCTCTCTAGTCACTTACCAACTCTTTCTTCTACTAAAACAGTAAGGACAGAGAAAGAAAGAAAAAGCAAAAATAGTTGCCATCAAGTTGACCCCAAGTGTTGTCAGAGTAGAACTGTGCTCCATAGGGTTTTCAATGGCTGTGATTTTTCAAACGTAGATCCCCAGTCCTGTCATCCAAGGCACCTCTGGGTAGATTTTTCAGTTACTAGCTACGATGCAGTGAATTATTTAATATGGCCCTTCTAGCCATTTATGGTCTTGTGACTCCCACAAAATGATTGGCTGGGACTACGCAAATAAGGTGCTTGTGGCCCATCAAGGGGATTGGACAGGCTGCTAATAATGTAAATAAGGCACATGGAACCCTTGTGGGGGTGGGACTATGCAAATAAAGTGTATGGAACCCTAACAAGAGGATTAGTCAGTTTTGCCATCCTGCTGGACTTAAAGGGATCCAATCCCAGAAGCAGAGAGGAAGACCTTACTACCATCAAGAAGAAGAGCTGGAAACGAGCATGTGCTTTGTACCCAGGGTCCCTGCGTTGAGAAGCTTCTAGACCCAGGAGACAGGGAGAGCTGTAACACCAGAGACCGTGGGAGACAGCAAGAAGTGGTGGCAAGCGTGACAGAGTACAGTGGCAGAGAAATGGCACAGTAGAACCAGGAGACCAGTGTGAGACTGGGCATGGGCTTCCTGGCCCACAGAGCAAGGCAGCTACAGTGGGTGTGCTGACCCATGGAGCAAGAGAGCTGAGTGCCATCAAGCAGGAAGCTTCCTGGCAGAGTGGGGTATTTCCAGGCACTTATCAGAGGAGCTGAAGAGTTTTGTAACACTTCACCGAGCAGGGCAGAGGCCAGGCTAAGGGAGAGAGAGCCTGTCCTCAAGGGGGCCGAGAGGAGCCCTGTCCTCGGGGCCACAAGGAGCCCTGTCCTCAAGGGGCCGAGAGGAGCCTGTCCTCAGGGGGCCACAAGGAGCCTGTCCTCAGGGGGCCGAGAGGAGCCCTGTCTTCAGGGGGCCGAGAGGAGCTTGTCCTCAGGAGGCCACAAGGAGCCCTGTCCTCAGGGGGCTGAGAGAGAGCCTGTCCTCAGGGGGCCGAGAGGAGCCCTGTCCTCAGGGGGCCGAGAGGAGCCTGTCCTCAGGGGGCCGAGAGGAGCCTGTCCTCAGGGGGCCACAAGGAGCCCTGTCCTCAGGGGGCCACAAGGAGCCCTGTCCTCAGGGGGCCGAGAGGAGCCTGTCCTCAAGGGGCCGAGAGAAGCCCTGTCCTCAAGGGGCTGAGAGGAGCCCTGTATGGCCGAGAGCAGCTGAGAGAGCTGTCCTGCACTGAAGAAGGCAGAGTTTGCCTACATGCTTCCTGATCCTGATCCTGAGTTACAATCTGTTATTTCCCTAATAAACCCTGTAACTGTGAATATGGTCTGTGAGTTCCATGGGGCCATTTCAACAAATTATCAAACCCATCAGAGAAGCAGAGAGTGCTGTGGGAGGGACGACAGGTGTCAGAATTGGTAAAAAGGTTGGAAAGAGATGTGTCTGCCCTCCACCTCATGGGAATCAGCCTTGGGCAGATGCTAATGGTGATTCTCTCCTCCCTCTTGTGAAGTTAGACGAGGTCCATCGTTGCCGACACCATTTTCACAGTAGCCAAGCGCTCAGCTGTTTACATCACCTAAGGACTCCATTAGATGACAAGGAGGGGAATAAAAATCACAGAGGGGAGCATCCTATTCACTAAAGAAATGTGGACAAAGCCAAATAAGGAAGTGAAATTCCATAGGAATAAAGGAGCTTTTCAAAGCTAGATTTAAAACAGGCAAAAGTATCTTGGGGCTAGGATTTCATTGGTATCAGATATTTAATTTGGATCAAAACAGAACAAGGTTGAAAATTCTTGGATTATCCATGTCTGCTTTTTTTTTTTTTTTTTTTACAGGGAATAGGAAGCATTTATAAAACACTTCTTTAGCACAGATCTGTTTGCTGGATGTGCATTCTTTCTTTCATTTTCGTTTAATCCTGACAACAATCTTATTGTTACTGTCTTGTGCCATGGAAGCCGACTCCAACTCACGGAGAAACCACGTGTGTCAGAGAACTGTGATCCGTAGAGGTTTTTTTTTCTTTTTCTTTAATTGTACTTTAGATGAAGGTTTACAGAGCAAACTAGCTTCTCATTAACAAATTAATACACATTGTTTTGTGACATTGGTTGCCAACCCCACGACATATCAACACTCTCCCCTTCTTGACCTTGGGTTCCCCATTACCAGCTTTCCTGTCACCTGCCTTCTCGTCCTTGCCCCTGGGCTGGTGTGCCCATTTAGTCTCGTTTTGCTTTATGGGCCTGTCTAATCTCTGGCTGAAGGGTGAACCTCAGGAGGGACTTCAGTACTGAGCTAAAAGGGGGTCCAGGGGTTCCATGTCTACCTCTTACTTAGAAACAATGGCAGGCCCAAGAAACTCCTTTCATTGGGTGCCTGTCCTCTCTGGAGGCATTTATCTTCAATAGTAATGTAACAAGGAAAAAATGGAAATTTCTTTAAAATGCCAACACATAAACCATTGTGAGACACAGCTAACTGCAGTAATTCATATTCTATCAGTATCTCAGCCATAGAAACACAACTGCAATATATATGCTTTTAATAATAGGACACATTTAAAAAAATAATGTATATTCAGATCCAGCTTATTAAACTAGCAAGTACAGCCCTCTCTACATGACAACTTACATAAACTCCGAGACAGTGAAAAACAGGCAGCTGTTCCATTTGGGAGACTACTATTTGTGCCCCTTAGGAAAATCACCTGATTTAGAACACCAATGGATGTGAGTTTATAAATGATCCGCCTTCTCTTACATTCAGCTTGACCTAGAGACCTCAACTATTTAATAGTGATACCTTTAGAAAGAGTAATAACCCTTTATTCCTATCACCCCCTGCCTCACACACAGATTTTTGTCTACTTCTCCAGAGCTCTGTTTTCTTCCTACAGTCCATTTCCCCTTGCTGACGTGGGGTTTTTCAACCCTGGAGCTCTTTAAAAACCATTCCAGTGTTTGAGATCCTAACAAGAGGCCGCACTGACATGAAATTGTAATAATAAGGGATTAGAAGACACAAGCAGGCGCACAAGAAGCCAGACACGAAAGAGAACACACTGTATGATTCCATTTGCATGCATTTTCAGAAAAGGCAAAACTAATCCATAGTGGTTGCTTAGGGCTGGGCAAGAGGTGTAGGGTGGGTGGCGATTGACTAAGAACAGGCACGAGAAACTTTTTGGGCAATGAAATTGTTACATATATTGTGATAGTATCACATACCCAAAAAAAAAAAAAAAAAAAATCCACTGCCGCGGAGTCGATTCTGACTCATAGAGACCCTATAGTGACCCTACTGGACAGAGTAAAACTGCCCCATGTGGTTTCTAAGACTGTAAATCTTTACGGGAGCACACTGCCTGGTGGGTTCCAACCGCCAACCTTTGGGTTAGCAGTTGAGTGCTTTAACCATTGTACCACCAGGGCTCCTAGTTATCACATAGTTGTATGCACATGTCAAAATTTAAATAAATACACTTATAATGGGTACATTTTATTGTATGTAAATTATACCTCATTTAAGTTGATTTAAAAAAAGAGATGTAAGCAATACTCTGGGAAAACTAACAAAATGTGATCCCACCTTAAATGTTTTGATAGAATTATATTACCTAACTGCCTCAACTCATAGCTCAGTGGGTGAAAACAGGTCAGGTGTGAAGAAACTCAAGAAGCCCCACCCACCACAGGAGAATAACAAGGTCAAACTTGAATCAGCAAGAAACCAGCCCCCAGAATCATGTATTTGGGGAAGGGGATGGAGTTTAACAGCTCTGCGGACCTTAATACAGAAACATTATTTTAAGCCAAAAAAGACAACGAAAGCGAGAGTCTCTTTTTAATGTTTAATTCTTAAAAACGAACAAGTTTCATTTATAACGACCATTTAGAAATGAAGCCATGAAATAAAAATCAGTAGATAAGCACTTATTTTAATTATGGAGATAAAATAACATCTGACAAAAGAAAGTCCTGGGATATTTGTTATTATCATGCTGCATGCGTCTGTTTTAATCCTAAAATTCAGGAAGAGGTTACCTAAGTGTCTAATGCTTGTGTTTCCTGCGTGATGGGAAAACAATCCCCAAGACCAATGTGGAGGTGAGAAAACGTTATTGTTAGCAAGAGGATTTTTAAAGCAGTTTTAAAAAAATACTTAAAAACAAACTGCCCTTCTAGACCATCAGGTTGATTTGGTGTTTAATATGATTATAACAAATTAGGCATAATGTATCTCAGAATTGTTAAGTAGAAAAATAATTGTATTAATTTTCTTGTCAAAATTCAAAGACTTGATTGTGAAAGAGATATACAGGAGGTGACTTTAACCTAGAAATCTTGTGCTGGAAAGGCACTAACATAGCTACTATTTAATTATACCCATATCATCACATAAAAAATCTAAAGAGGAGATTTTAAGGAACTAGGCAAAAATACCATCTATATCTGAATGTAAGGTAATGCCAAGCTCCGAGCATAAAATTAAGGCAGTTACTTTATTTTGAACTAGAAAGTGGCATAAGCAATTGAGAGTGTGCCCCATAATGAGAGCCTCGCCCCACCATGCCACTCTCCATCTCAAGGCATAATTTTGGGAGAAATGGTATCTTAGATTTGGTTTGTTACGTTATCTGATTATTACATGTTTTTATAAGATAGGCATGGCACTCGCTGAGATCTGGCTTAAAGTTTAAGAGAATATTCAGATAGAGCATGTAAGTGGTTACCTTTTGGGAGACTAAGCTTTCATTCAGGTTAAAGTTGAATGCACGTACTCACACGGGGCTACCAAACCAATATTTTTGTTGTAATTAGAGAAAATGAATATGGTTTGTCCAGACTTTCATAGTTCCATCCATACAACAATCAGTTGTATTGTTCCTTTCATGAAAAAACAGTCTGATCAAATAATCTTGCAAAGGAAAGATAACCTAGCCTCAAGTCTACAATATAAAGGCAGAGAGAAAATGATAAATTTTCTGCTCAATTGTCATGTTTAGGACCTTTACAAGTAGTGTGTTGATTTCCAGAGAGCACCACTATGCTGTCTGTGCCAAAAATTTCATGTACTGTCCTCGAGCATCAAAATGGTCAGCCGGCCGGCTGTATGCTGTCCATACTGGTTCTCCAACAAACAGCCGCATGGCCTTTACATAATTCTAGGAAACAAACAAAGAAACCACCGTCTTATTAAAACAGAGGACCTTCTACTTATTTATAGTTTAACAGTGAAGATAATACTTTCCTTGTTTTTATTTTTGTGTCTTAACATTTTTGGTTACATTTTACCCTCTGGGAAAAATTCACATCAGGAGGTATGGCTAATACTAGTAAGTTCTTATGCTCAGGAAAGCAAAAGCATCTGCAGCTAAAGTTCAGCGTTTAATTCTATATTCTCTAGATAAAGGTATCAATTATGAAAATAAGCACTGACTCAGGATCCCAGGGATGGATAAGAATCAGGCAAGACACTTAGTGAGTCTGTTCCCCTTTCTTTCCATTTCCTCTGGGTACAGTTTTACTAAGAACTACTATTGAGACCCTCTTATGTTGCTGGTGGGCAAGGGAGGACAATTTGGTATCGTTTATCAAAATTATAAATGCACATACCTTTTAATCCAATTTCTACTCCTTAAGGAATTTATCTTATAAATAAACTTACATGACTACAAAATGACAGATGTATAAGGTTATTTATTATGGCACTATTTATAATAACAAGGCCTTAGAAATGATCTTTGTACCCTTCATTAAGGATCAGCCATTCACTGTAATAACTTATTGGTTAAATAGATCAGGGCACAGCCAACAACAGTACCATGCAGTTATAAAGAAGGAATGAGGCTCTTTATATACTGGTCTGAAATGACTGCCAAAACATACCAAGTGAAAAAAAGTAAAATGCAGAACTGTGTATACAGTCTGCTACCATCTGTGTAAAAAAGGGAGGGTAAAAAAAATACTTATTCATATTTGCTTGAATATGCATAAAAATCTCTCCAAAAAGATTATTTTTTTTAAATGTAATATTGGTTACCTCCAGGGAGAGAAACTGGATGGCTAAGAACAGGAGTAAGAGAGAGACTTTTCATTGTATACCCTAAACACATCTGTGCAAGCAAGGAAATTATAACTATTGTGGTAGTGAGCAGATGCTTAGATTTCATAAGCCTCCTGATATAGGGTATGGGGTGAATGACAAGCAAAGCAGGGGATTCCATTAAATGTAGGCTAGGTTGATATATACTGTGCACGTAAACAATTTTAAATACCCCAGTAAAACTGATATACACCCAGTAAAGAGATGATGAAAGTCCTCTTCTTTGCTCTTCCAAAAAAACAAAAAACACTGCCGTCAAGTTGATTCCAACTCATAGCAACCCTATAGGACAGAGTAGAACTGTCCCATAGGGTTTCCAAGGAGCGGCTGGTGGATTCGAACTGCCGTCGTTTTGGTTAGCAGCTGAGCTCTTAACCACTGCACCACTAGACTCCTCTTCCCCCTTAGTACCTCTTTATTTAAAATATCTCATCACTACTATCTAGAAAATAAATTAGAAATCTAATAGCAAAGACTATCCCTATTCTCAGGTTTAATTCAAATCATATCCAGAAAACATAAGAATTACCTTTCTGCTTTTATTACCAATCTTAACGATTGCATTGCAACTAGCATTAATGACAAAGTAAGAGCCAAAGCAATGGACAAAGTAACAACCCTTGAGGTGCCTGACGATTACGTACCCCTAGAATTAATCAACCCGTTGAAGTTGAGTTGATTCCGACTCATAGAGACACTATAAGGCAGAGTAAAACTGCCCCACAGGACTTCCAAGGAGCGGCTGGTGGATTCGAACTGCCGAACTTTGGTTAGCAGCCTTAGCTCTTAACAACAAAATATGGGCTGGAAGATCTCTCTCAGTTAAAGGAACAGACTGTTTTCTTGTTAACTTGCTTAGCCTCTGCTTGGCCCGTGGTGTTTTTAAAATGTGTGTTACTGTCCCGAGAACACACAGAGGCGACAGTAACAAGTAGACTGTTAACATAAAATAAACGGCTGTCATGCTCAGAGTCCCAGGCTGCCGACTCCAGCTGGGTTTCTCCTTGAAGCAGAAGCTACAGGAGTCATGAGCTACGACCGCGCTTCAAGTCGGTCAGTCTCACGTAGCAGAGCTGGTGGTGTTAGTGGCAGCGTCGTGAATTTCTGCAACTACATAGCAAGTCTTAAAAATAATAAGACTGAGGGGACTGCAGTCAGTGTTACGAAACAAAATGTGTATATATTGTTGAATGGGAAACTAATTTGCTCCGTAAACTTTCACCCAAACAACAATAAAATGTTCAAAATATATATATACATATATCCCCTGAAGTCTTTTTGGAACCAAACCGCAACAGTTTAGCTTGACTAGTAAAGCATGACTGCCTCGGGCATTGTGCGCCTTTAAGATCTATCTGTACGCGATCAAAGTGATAACAGCAACTCCAAAGGTTAGATAGGAGCCTTAGGGGACAGTGAATTTATGTTAAGGAGGGAAGAACAACTCAGAAAAGGAGGGGGAGAGTGGTTGCACAATGAGAAGAATATAAAGTGTCACTGAATTGTACACGTAGAAATCATTGAATTGGTGTTATGTTCTGCTGTGTATATTCTTACAACAAAAATAAAATAAATCATACACAAAAGAAAAAGAAAAAATAGATTCTACCTTTTCATCCAGTGTGAAACGGTGGTAAATTCCTGCAGGAAGGGTTATCATGTCTCCTTTCTCCATGAAAATCCGGATCCACTTGTCCTCTTTATCTCTTACATCAAAATATCCACTTCCATCCAAAATATATCGAATTTCATCATCCAAGTGTAAATGCTCCTCATAGAACATTTTAATCTATAGTAGGAGGGAAATTTTTTTAAGCTTATAGAGACCAATCATGCAAATTAGCAGAGATCCACCCACGGGCCTAAGCTTTAAATACATCAGAATGGAGGTGAATGAAAATTCTCTCCCATAAAAATGAACATGATACTTGCTAAGAATTATTACTATTATAAACATAAGGAGGCCGGGAGCTCAGATATTTTATGAAGCTTATCAAGATAGTGGTGCAGTGGTTGAGAGCTACAGCTGCTAACCAAAAGGTCAGCAGTTCAAATCCACCAGCTGCTCCTTAGAAGCCCTATAGGGCAGTTCTACTCTGTCCTATAGGGTCATTATGAGTCGGAATCCACTTGATGGCAATGGGTTCATCAAGATGGTAGTAGTAATAGGAAGAATTAACACTTAGATAGGACTTACCATGTGCCAGGCAGTGTTGTGTTAAGGTATATTAATTCTTTATTAATTAACGTTTATTAATTCTTTACATATATTAACCCTCACAACCCCATGAGGTAGATACTAGTTATAATCCCAGTTTTGCAGATGAGGAAATGGTGGCACAGAGCAGCTAAGTAACTGGCCCAAGGTCACACAGCTAGTAAATGGCAGAGCTGAGACTCCTGGCTCCAGAGTCCATGCCCATAACCGCCACACTGTAACTGTACAGGACACAGCAGTCATGCTAAGATGGCACCAGGTAAGGGCCAGTGAAAAGCCACATCAAAGGCAGAGGCATTAACAGTCCCGATAAACACTTCCCATTTGTTCACATACGCTTTTGTATCTTTCAGGAGACCTTTTTCCCCCTAACATTTTAAAACGAAAATATTCAAATATGCAAAAAAGCTGAAATAATTTTACAGTAAATATCCATATACCTTCCACCTAGATGCCACCATTAATATTTAACTGTATTTGCATTGTTAGTATCTATCCATCCCCTTTATTCAGGAATGTTTTAAAAGTTTTCCTCACATAATGTTTACATATTTAAAAAAAAAAATGTACTGGAATATCTGTAAATGTTCAGAAAATCACCATATAATAAGAATAAAGCACATTTAACTCTTCACTGAGATACCCTTTTTTACTATCAGATTGTCAAGCATTTGAATTTTCGCCAGATCACTCTGTTGTTGAAGCTACAGGGAAACAGACATCCTCATAAGCTGCCAGAGGGAATGCAAAATGTTACATCCCCTGTGGAGGGAAATTGGGCAGTATCTACAAACTACATTTACTGGCTGATCCAGCAATCCCACCTCTAGGAATTTACCCTGAAGATACATCTCCAACAGAACAAAATAAATATGCACAAGGTTGTTGTTGCTGTATTATCTGTAATTTTAAAATGCTGCAAACAGCTCAAATACCCAAACTTAGAAGAGTGACTGAATAAATTATGATATATCCACACAATGGTATATGATGCAGTTGTGAAAAAGAATGAGGAAAATCTCTATGAACCAACATGTAACGACTTCTAGAATATACTGGAAAAATTGAAAAAAAAAAAAAAGCAAAGTACAAAGAGGGTATGTTTTGCTATCTCATGTAAGAATGAAGAGGAACTAACTCACATACATATGCTTATTTGATATATAAACACTGTCATGATCAGAAACTAATAAAACTGCTTATAGATAGTAGGTGCGTGGAAACAGGATGTAAAGGATAGGGGACGGAATGATACTCTTGCGAGTACCTTTTTCTGTAGTTTTGATTTTAAAACCTTATTTTTTACATAATCAGAAATAAAATTAAAACAAGAAGATTGGGAGGAACCCCTTAAATTTTAAAAGAAAACTAATCGAAGTACTTCTCAACGTACTTCTTTGACTATACTCTCAATCTAAAGACAGAGAGAACTGCAAACGTATCTTAAACTCTGCTTGATAGGTCTGATGCTTATAACAATATGGGTGTAGCAACTCTGAAACTATTTTGTGTATACTGTAAGATTGAGCAAATAAGTAAAAATATTAATATAACTGGACCTAAGATTCTCACTGTGAAAGAAAAGAGATACAAATACAGAATGAGGGAAGGCAAGGAGAAATCCTGTAGAGTTGGAATGGAATTAGAGGTATCAGTTTGAACTAATGATTACAACACACATACACACTTCTTTTTTTTGTGCTAGTCTGTTCATTGAAAGCAACTAGGTGCAGTGACACCAGGGAAGTATATCTTGGTTTCTAAATACCAGTAATTCATACTGGGAGGAATGGCTGACTCCAGGGCTAGGTCAGGGAAAAGTATGAGATGGGCCTGGAATATTTTGTTATGCTAGAAAGTAGGGAGGTGCTCATAAAAATGATGGGACATGTCAAAAGGACCGGAGCCAGTTTAAAGAGGCTCCCACTTGCCAAATCTGGGACAATTTGAACATCAAAATGAATAATGTAGGGAATGGATTATAGCCCAATGATTAAAATAAGAATCCATAAGCCCATATCAGTGATAACAGGAGAGAAGGAAAAGTTTCTCCTTGTAGTAGAATATACCAATTCGATATAGACGGAATGATAGTTAGAAAATCACCTTTTTTCAACCATCATAGTAATAACTGATTTAGGCAAGAATCATCAAGCCTGACTAAAAATATCAAGTGAATGTTTGATGGGAAATAGGACATCTGCAAGTCTAAAGTAACTCTCCACAAATTTGTTATTGGTGGTTGTTATGTGCCGTCAAGTTGGTTCCGACTTACAGCAACCCTGTGTACAACAGAAAGAAACACCGCCTGGTCCGGCGCCTTCCTCATAATCCTTGCTATGTCTGAGCCCATTGTTGCAGTCCCTGTGTCAGTCCACCTCATTGAGGGTCTTCCTCTTTATTCCTATTTATTGGTTACAGAGGAACAAAGTTTTACAGTGGAGAAACTTGGAGGATACTACCTTAACCAAAGTTAGCATCACCAGTAACAGGATCGTCTGATATGACATGTCACCTGAGCAGACAGTATCATTTGCGTAGGATTCCTGCCAAAATTTCGTGACTTGAATCTAATCGTGAGGACAAACTCAAGTGCGCTGCAGTGGGTTTTCTCTTTATATATGGCTTTTCTGGCCTTGGGTTTATAATTCTGCCAGAAATAACTGGTTGGCTGCAGCCTGCCCTGTGATTGTTCTATTTTATGCACCTTGCAAGGATTGGTCAGTCTACAATGCAAATAGGGTGTATAAAACCAATCAATAGGATTAAGTCACCCTGTGGGAACAGGTTGATTACTATGCAAATTAAGTGACTGTGGCCTGCAAAGGGGATTGGTCAGTTCATGGTCTGGTGGGAAGGCCATGACTTGAAATTGACAAGAAGCAAGCTTACATGAGGGCCAATTGCACAGAAGCTTAGGGAGACCTTACTACCATCAAGGAGAGCCTGGAGCCGGGTGCATCCTTTGGACCAGGGGTCCCTGCGCTGAGAACCTTCTAGATGCAGGAAAGTGAGAGAGCTGTAACACAGGAGACAGTGTGAGAAATGGTGGCAACCACAGCAGAGTCCAGAGACAGAGAAATGGCAGAACCAGGATGAGCAGCAGGAACCAGGAGACTGGCGCATGGTGGCTGCAGTGGGCTTGCCAACCTTCAAAGCAAGAGACAGCTCAGCCACCTTCAGGCAGGAGGCTTGCTGGCAGATAGGGGTGCCTCTAGGCACTTATCAGCAGGGTTAAAGAGCTCTAACACTTGCCCAAGAAGGGTATGCCCAAGAGAAGGCCCGGTGGTGGACACAGCCACGCGAAGGTCTGTCTGCAGGCACGGCTGAGAGAAGGCTTGTCTGCCTGGGGGCACAGCTGAGAAGCTGAGAACTGTCTTGGTTGAAAGCTGTCCTGATTGAAGAACTGTATCCTGTCCCTTGAGTTGTAGCCTGTTACTTCCAAGTTGATCTTGATCCTGAGTTGTAGCCTGTTACTTCCCTGATAAACCACGTTATTGTGAGTACCATCTGTGAATTCTGTATGGCCATTGCAATGAATACTGAACACAGAAGAAAAGTAGAGAGTGCCATGGGGAGGAACAGCTGGTATCAGAATAGGTGAAAAAGTTGGAGAGTAGAAGTATGTCTGACCTCCACTTCATAAGAACCAACTTTGTGCTGATCTGATTCTCATCCTTCCTCCTGAAGTTAGGCAAGGTCTGGCACTACTAGGTTACACCAAATAATCAGAAAATAAAGAAGATTGTTTTATAAAAACAAGAGAGATAAGCCTAGATCAAGAAGTGGGTTTTATACCAGAAGAGAAGCTAGTCTAGAAGATAATGAGGAAAAAAATAATATAACTAACTATGAACATTAATAATAGGCAAGTATCTTCTACGTGGAGTCCCTGGGTGGCGCAAATGGTTAAGTGTTCGGCTGGCAGATCAAATCCACCCAGAAGCATCAGAAAAGAAAGCCCTGGCAATCTACTTCTGAAAGATCACAGCCATCGAAAACCCTCTGGAGTGCAGCTGTACTGTGAAACACACGGGGTCACCATGAGTCGCCGTCAACTGAAGGGCAAGAGATTTGGGTTGTTGTTTTCTTTAATTTTTTTAACCCTCTGCTAGGAAGAGGCTAGACATTCTAAAATTCTAAGTAAGAATCACACCTCTTGAATCCAAGAGAATTTGATGATCGTTAGGGCACTCAGTAAGAAATGAAGTAATTTTGTAAGGTATTACAATATTTGGCCTCTGACTGGCAAGAATGATTTGATATACACAGACCTAAACCAAAGAACTAAATCACACAATAGGAATTAAATCAAACAATTTCCGTGTTCTTAAGCTACTTTTGTTCTTGGTTCAATTTGGTATTGCTGGTTCACCTGCTCATGTTTTCTTTTTGAGAAACAAAACCAGGAGAAATCCAAGCTAATGGAAGAACAGTCTGGGTTGAGGCAGCTCTCAAGGTGGGTTCAGGAGAAAGGCCAGAGGACCAAGAACACCTGGGTTCTAGCCTAGGTTTATCAATGTGACCTTGGGGACAGTCCCTCACCCTTCCCAGGTTTCCAATTACAAAGT